CCATACCGCGGCAAACGCCATGCGACCGCGGCAGGCCCGTCCTTACGTACGCACGTCTGCATGTATGTAGGTGGGTGGGTGTACGGGGCACGTTAGTAAAACAAAAACGACAGAGCGTGGCGCACCGTGCGTGCGGTGTGCCACCGCGCCTACAGGGCCGGCTCAGGCTCTCCAGCTGCAAAGCGCAACCCCGCCTCAACATCCCCCGCTATAAGCGGCACGGCAGTCTCTACCAGCTCCGTCTCGTACGCCGTGAGTGCACCCATTGGCAGAAGTCGCGCCACGCCCTCCTCGCCAAGCTCCACACGTGAAGCAAAAAAAAAAGGGGGTATTCCTTCCCCAGGGAAAAAAGAACGCTGACGCATAAGAATGGACGGCAGGTGGAAAGCGGTTGGCACGCAAAGGCTCGTTGAAGCCCAACTGTCTCTGTTTTCAGGAAGGCAAAAAGGTTATAGCCGCTGTTAAGGAACATGCCTTCCCAGGAAAACACCCCACTGGTATGTTATAGTGTTGTTTTTCAATGTCATTGGCGCGGTGTTCAGTGCAGCAAACGTGAGAGCTCCCGCCCTCGCATGGTGCGGAAAGCGCTCTGGCAGGGCGTAGTTAAGAAAAAGCGGCGTGCACAGGGTGAGGTGAGCCATCCGTTTCAACCATGTTGGCGAGTTATGCATTTACTTTGAGGGATGCAGTAGGTTGCGTTACGTCATCTATGCTGTGTGGCGGCGCAGCGGAGGATGTACGTACTTCGCTGCCCTTCCCCACCCGTCGGGGGCCGGGGTTCTTTTCCCCGCCTCCACGTGTGGGGAAGGGGCGTGTTCGAAGTTGGTGGCGGTCGCCCACGCCGTCAAGTCAATTCCTAAGAATATATATATATATATATAAAAGGAGTTCAGTTGTTTTTTTTTAAACCGGCACTGCTGCTGCGGGTGCAGCGAACAAGAGAGTGAGGGCAGTGCACAAGTGAGAGAGGAGGAAGACGCAGACACACGCAAAAAAAAAGGAGTGTAATGAAGAAGGGGAGGAAGGGCGCAACGTTGTAAGGAGATAGAGAAGTTGCCGATAGCACCTACCAGCGAGGTGAAATTTCAGCGGTCCAGCAAGCCGGTAATATGCATTTGGAGCGAGTGCGAATGCCCATACAGACTTTCTAAAGAAAGAAAAAGAAAAAATGGAAATCGCGACGGAGACCGTAAGCCAAGCAAGGCCACACTTGTACTGTAATGGCAAAGTTTCGTCTCACCAATATCAGTCGTGGCGACCCAATTGAACGCACCCTTGTCAGCGTTACCGTCCCCGCCTCCAGGGGCGAAGTCCCACCGCCATTGCAGTCGCACCGCGCACCCGTAGGCAGCGGCACAGCGGAGGAAGATCGCCCGTGGCCAGTGGCGTGCTCATCATTAAATTAGCAGTGGCGCACATTTTGAACAGGAAGTACTGGTGTCAGCAACTCACCCATGCCTTTTTTTTTTGGAGCCGCACACACGGACACAATTTGACGGGAAGGATGAGAAGAAAAAAACAGACAAACAACAACACCAAGGATGAAAGTAAATGAAATGTACCGAAAAAGTAAGCTCCCAGCTTCGACGCGAGGCCCTTCAGACATCCATCTCTACACAGGTATTAATGCGTATGCACCACATCTTGCCTCCGCTGCCGCTACAGCAAGTAAAGTAAAGTGAAGTAATAAAAAAAACAATCACAACAATAGCGCCGGCACAAAGAAAAAAGAAAGACTTATACCCATAAAAAACTCTCCTATGGCCCTCAGAAAGAGGAATAAAATAAAAATGAGAAAGGAAAACAAGACGAACATCAGGCTTAAAAATTCCAAAAAGAAACAAAAAAATTAGATATTTTCTTTTTCGATGTTGATCTTTTTCTTCCTCCTTCTATTGAAAGTGGGCCAGGGCCCCTAGTCGCTAAGACATTTATCCTCTTCTTCTCTTTTGTTACTGGCTAGGCCTAGTTGTTATGGATAAACATACATCCATACATATGTGAATGGGGGATAATTTTTACTTATGTATATATATATATATATATATGAACACATATTTCTTCCTTTAGTGGATTATTTTAGCCCTAGGCGGATGGCAACAGGGTCAAGAATAGCCATGACGGATTTGCGCACAGCCTCGACAGGACGATTGGCATCGAGATGCTCAAAGACCCCTTGTTCCTTGTAGTGCGTGATCAGGGGCTCATTTTCCTTATGGTACGTCTCAAGGCGCTTCTTCACAACCTCCTTGGAATCGTCAGGGCGCTGTGTTAGCGGTTCACCCGTCACATCGTCCCTGCCCTGCACCTTGGGCGGGAGAAACAGTTCGTGGTAAGTGCGACCGCTCGGACGGTGCATCCAGCGACCGCTGGTCCGTGCAACTATGACATCGTCAGGGGCGTCAAATAGGATGACCTTGTCAACTTTCTCGCCTGCTTCCTCCATTAGCTCCGCCTGCCGTAACGTACGGGGATAACCGTCAACAACGTAGCCGTACTTACACTCGGGCTTCGCAATGCTCTCCTTCAGTATGCCGAAGACAATGTCGTCTGACACAAGCCCCCCAGCATCCATTGTGGCCTTCGCCTTCATTCCGTATGAGGTCTGCTTTGCAACGGCATCTCGAAGCATATCTCCCGTTGACAGGTGGCAGACGCCGTAGCGCTGAGTTATAAAAGGGCTCTGCGTCCCCTTCCCGCAGCCGGGAGCCCCCATCAAGACAAATTTCATGGTGAAAGTGTCGTCTGCGTGGCTTGCTTAACCTTCAGGAAAAGAGGGTGGGAAACCAAAGAGGGAAATCGAGCGGAAAGTCCAGATGAAAACATCCAAAGGGCCACGAACAGAAAAGGAAAAAAAAGCGTACAAAAAAACAAAACGCAATACGTGACTACTTTTCACACACATCACACGTTCAGAAAGAAGTCTGCCTGACATGAATGAGCAACTCCCACCAGCGAGCAACGATGGGCATCAGCAATACAACGGGATAGCCCTGGCACTTGTCCCAAAGAGAAATGATTCACACAGAGAGATGGAGAAGCAAAATAAAGCTTCCAACCTTCTTTTTGTCCTCAGAGTCTTTTTGTTGTTGTTTTTGCTTCGTCGTACTTGATTGCCTCCATGTAAGAAAGTGCAACTCTCCGTCCAAGCGAAAAAACGGAAAGCAATCAACAAAGAAGACCCTCTTCGGCCCATCGCGCTTTGCTGCCTCCTACACCGGCTGCTCCTCCTGCCGCGGCCCCCCAAGAACCACAGGGCCGTAGCGTCGCAACAGCTCCTCCAAGGGAAGTTGTGGAAAGAGCATCTGACGTATCTGAGCCAATCTCTCGTACTTTGGGTACCCGCACTCGTCGACGGGAAGGATTATTGCTTTTGGCCCCACCACCGCCTCCTCGGCCTCGGCCGACCACCGCACCGCAAGGCAACTATGATGGCAATCGTTGCTGTAGCAACGCAACTTGATTGACGCGTACGTCAAGTATAACTGTGGATACGTCCCACGATGCTCACGGCCTTGATTCAGGCAATACCTCGACAGTTTCTGTTGCGCATAGTAAGCTCGGATACCCTCCTGGTACTGCACACTCACCCGCTCCCCCACAACAGGGGGCGTCCCCCCACACCGTGTGCCGCCAGTCTCACCACCAGCTTTAACCATAACCCCACCTCCGCCACAACCATCGTATGCGGCGCACAGGCATCGAAAAACCTCGGCCACTAGGTCCTTCACACGCTTATCAAGGACAGGCACACGAACACCATCACGGCGCGGGGGCCGCGGCACCACAAACGGATCACAACATGTTTCTACGCTTCGTTGCTCACTCGACTTTTGTTCCAACGCAATGAGACGAAGCAAACCGGCATTGGACTCCTCGCTCACTCCCACGGGAGTGTTCTCTCGCTGAATCGCGGCAAAATTAAATACGGTGGATGCAACCTTTTGGCGATACCTCTCATCTATTTCGTCCTCACCTGGAAAAGATGGCGCATACTTCGACAAGAAATCAATAAGATCCTTGTCGTCCATCGCAGTTCTGCCCGGTATTACGGGCAGGAAAAACCGGAAAAGAAAGAAAAGCTTCGTCATCATGCGGAGTTGATGCTGTCGCTGCACTGGTGAAGCCACCTGCTGTAAGGAAGAAAGATCTACATGTTGCACCACCGACGGGGCCACCGCGCCGACGTCAACCTCTGGGATAGCAACCGACCGCAACGATGATTGCGAGAGAGCCAAGATCATTAGGTCAAGCGCCGCGGCGTCTGCGGGAGAAAACTCTGTGTAGAGTGGGGCCTTCACATTGTACGGCAACCGAAACGCCCGCCAACGCGTGTAGACGGCAAAGTCAATGCACCGCCGCAGCATACGGTAAAGGCAAACAGAGTCAGAATCTTCCGTCGATGAAAGAGCCACATCTAATTCCTCTCGAACTCGCGACATAAACTTATGCAGCTCCCGCACATTGGCAAAGACCGTATTGTTTTCCATACGAAAATGAACATGAAAACTTAGCTTGCTATCGCGGGGGTTAAGCAAGGGAACTGCCTCCCCTTCGTTTTGCACCTCCTGCGCCACCACGTCGTTCCCGGCACTCTCGCTTACGCTCACATCGTTGTGTACAATCACGGAGCTCGTCAAGACCGCACACTCCCGCAGTTTAGCCCCTGTTTCTGCCTCTACTTTATCCCGCAAGAAACGCAATATCTGACCCAGGCAGTATTCAACAGAAGCCATGTCCACCTGCAGAGATGGCGACGATAACGGCGCTGAGTGCAGTCTCTCCCCCGCAGCAAACTCTGCCTCGTCTCCTCTGTTCTTCCTCATCCATTTAAATGGCACAGGACAATCAATATCAAAGTAGGGGTCCACCGCGGCGTTTTCATCCACCAGCACGTAGAGATTGCGCTGGTGGCACATCGGGATTGCCCCAATAAAGGAAGACAACTCTTGCCGGGGCAGCGTGTTGTACATCTTTCCGCCAGATCCACTACCATTGTCTGCCGCAATGACAAGGGAGCCGTGATTCACCATGTAGCGGCGGCTCAAGATGGCGTCTAGTCTTGTGCCGTAAAATGAGCTCTGGATGGCGGCTGGGTCGGGACGCTTCACTGCTCGTGTGGCCAGCAACAACGAGGTGGAAGGCGCTGTCGGGTGAGCCGTCGCCTGCGCGCGAGAATCAGCGGGTTGAAACAACATGTGATGTTGCGACGCAGCGCGCCAATACTGATCGGCCGGCACCGCCACCGCCCCAAAACAGCCAGCTAGCACAGACATCGCGGCGTCATCAATAGTGCCCGGGTGTGGCAGGGGCGGGTCCGCGCGAATGCGCAACACTCCCGCCGTTGGGCCCGTCAGGGCAAAAATGGCGTTCACGGAGGTTCCCTTCGCCTCATGGCGTGGAGCCTTTGCGCGGGGCTCCATCACGCCTCAACGCCGCCTGCAGGAGGCAGCAGGCACGGGGGATACTCCGTGGCAGGCCCAGCAGTCGGAAGACAGCAAAGATAACAATAAAATAGGCGTGGGGGTGCCAAGGAAAAAAAAAAGGGTGGGGATGAAGAAGGAGCGAATTTCAAGAGCAAATAAATCGTTTTACACAAAGTCAAGAAAAAAAAAAGCATAATGACAAAAACGAGACCAACTACTTCTCGTGTCGCCAGAAGGAGAGAAAATGGCATGGGGTCGATGAATGGGGAAGAGGGTTTTTTCTCTTCTTGTTTTAGTCCCACGCACAATTTCGGTGCATTGACAAAATACGAAGTGACTGCTCAACCTCCGTCATAGCCGCGTCGCTACGACGAATGCAGTCCAATAGAGCCAAAGAGGGCGGGGAATGGCCTTCTAGGTCCCCCTTGAACCTGGCACTTGTTAGCACCCGAGTTACGAGATCCATTCGCGCCTGAAGACGTCCTTCTAGAATAAGCTCGCGCAAAACTTCTTGTAATTCTCCAAGTGGGATAGACAGCTGGTCCGCCGCCTTCCGCATGTCAAGGCGCAAAAACGCATTGGCGTATCCCAAGATAACAGACTGGACAACCAAACGGTGGAGAAAATCACTATGTTTACAAGCGAAAATATCCGTTTTTAAAAACGAGAAATTCAGTACGGAGGCTGCACGGAAAAATTCGTCCCATTTGGCTAGTTGTAGCGCCTGAACGAGCGCATTGGCCTCAGGCACATCCTCCCAGAGAGGCATGACATCCATCCGGGTAACCAACTCCAACGCCTCTGCGCGTGGCAACGCCGCAAAGGCACAAAACAACACCATCACCCCCAGCTGTGGCCCTGAAGTGATCGACTCCTCAACAAGTTGTCGCAAATGGTGAATTCCCGAGAATGGCCCAGAGGCGTTAACACCACCGCCGAGTGACGCAGCAACTTGCACAGAATTCCTTCTCTTGTTGAACTCCTCAACCGCAGGGGACCATCCCGCGACTCGTAAACCATTCCCTGTAAACACGCGAGCAAAACCGGAAAAATTTTGATCCGCAAACATGCACAAACTTCGCACAATTGATAAAATGAGCAAGTGGTCCTCCATTTCAGACATCATACTCTCCACGGTTCGCTGCTGCGGTGCCAAAGGCGATGGACCGCAACCTTGGGCCTGCAAAAGGCATTCCGCAGCTTGTGTCAGAAGGGTAGCCGTAGCGTTCCCAACAAGGCCCCGAACAGCCTCCAAGTTACCTGCGCACAGCCACAGCTCCACGCTGCGCCGGACAACGTCCAACTGGACAAGGATGGTTTCCACCCGATTCGAACTCACCGCTGATTGCTGCAGTGAAGATGACAATAATGAAAGACGACTCATGGCCTTACTCATTGCCCCGTAGTCATGCAAATCGGCGTAAGCCTCCGCCACCCGCAACTGACCACGTACTTCACGTACTTCACGTACTTCTTTCGATTCTAAACGACCCCGCTTCATGGTCACCAAAGGGGTCTGCTGCGACGCAACATCATCATCCTCGACAGATGAAAGTTCCAAACATGATAGGGCGGACTGCAAAGCGGCTGTTGCACGTGCACGTACCGCAGCTTCTTGCGCCGCAGAAATTATACACTCCCCCGCGGGCCAGTCAGGATGCTCTCCACAAGAACGACGAAACATTTCAATGTCGCATACACTAAAACCGCCCGTAAGGTACTCCACCGCGGCCGCCAACAACTGACGACGCGTGTCTGGGCAAAGTTCCAGTTTTCCACCGAGACCGAAGAGAATGTGCGCCACACGATTGTACCGCTGCCTTTTCGGTGCGCTTTCAACAAGAAGTCTGGCAGGAAGCTCCATGCGGAAGCTCCGTTTGCCTTCTTTCCCGCTTCCCCAATAAAAACAACGATAGAAACAAGAAAAACGTTTGAACACACACACACACACACACACCTCCTGCCAACTACAGTAAAAAGAATAAATACCACACTCCTCTCCAACGAAGAATTCTATATATTGCAGATGCTAGCTGGTCCGAGAATAAGACAAGGAAAACATCAAGAGCAAGTGCTGCATAACCACCAGGGCAAGCATGCAAAATATATAATAAAGCAAAAAGAAGCGTGCATGAAAAAAAAAAGAGCCTGGCATCTTAAGCACCGCTGACCGAGTTTTGTGATTGGAATTACCACCAATACTTGGGGTATGGAGAACGACTCTCTAGCATATTGTTCAATATCCACGCACACAAAAACAAGATAATGCAACCAAGGAGAACGGGGAACACAACAAACAAAAAACCCTGGTCGTGATAATATGCGTTGAGTGGTGCAAGAGCCGCCGACACACACGTTGCACTCGCAGGGGGGTGAAACGTATTTGTTAAACACACGAGCACGAGATGTAGCCCAACCACCAAGGCCGCTACACACTTAAACCCAAATGTTTCGTCATTCAAAAACTGAAAAATATTCGCAAAGCAAACTCCAATAATTGCTGCCGAGACGTGGGAAAAGAATAAGGCACGGGGCTGTGCCACGGGCGCCCCAGGAACACTAAAAAGAATGGTTGCACTAGCGCCAAAGGAGGGGAGAAAAATGCTCAGGTGACTTTCATGTGCATGGAACACGTAAAACTCAATGAGCGCCAACACAACCATCGAAACACAGGCAAAAACAAAAGCCACCAACAAGTCCCACGAAGGAAAGAAGCCAAACATGTACTTAGATCGGTCGTAGCCCGTTAGTCGAGACCAATACCACCGCGGGAACTCATGCAGCGGGGGCCACAGTCCCAAGATTGCCTTCACTGAAAAAAAAGCGTCCGTCGTCTCGATCGTAGTGTCTCCGTAAGGTGCATGTTCCTCAACATGTGTAGCGTGCCCCTGCACGTCAGAATCATGGGTCCGTGAGCCAATGAAGGAAGAATTCTCGCGAGGGAGATATGCGGCCTCGGCTCGCAGTACGGTTAGCGATGAGTGATGCGCTTGTCCGTCATCAGGATTAGGGCGACATCCCAAACCTTCGTCTCCCACCCTGGCGGTCCCAGCGGAACCTGGGCTCCGCATCTCTTAATTACCCACAGTAGAGCAGTGAATAAGCCACCTACAAGCTTTGTGCCGGCGAAACGTCAGTTCCTCTTGACAAAAAAAAAAAAAGCCCAAGAAACAACCGCATGGGAAGTACAATTTGTAAAATGGCGGGACGAAAGTCAGATATTGCTAGTACAGCTCTTCTTTTCTCATGGCCCCGCCGCAATTCGCCCATCCACAAAAGCAGAGACGCAGCAGGTACCAAAACAGAGTACATATGTACATAATGTGCGCATAATACTGTGAGGAATTCTTCTGCGCGGCCCTCCTCGTTAACTCGCCCTCCCTCCGCTTAAACAAAGGGGAGCAGAAGGACCTGCGGCGGAGAATATTCAAACTGTTACAAAACGACAGATACGCATTCCCCCTTATTGTCACTACCGCTACCAGCAGGAAGTTACACTGACCGCAAGCGAAAAAAAAAACACTTACTGTTATTATTTCCTCTTTAGTTTTAGTTGTTTAACAGAAAGGCAATAACGAGAAACCCCAACGAGAAACCGAATCAATAAAAAAAAGAGCAAAGACGTATCCCCAGACTTGCAGGCTTGCCTCCATCGTTCCGGTCAGCAGAAGAGGGAGTGCATCCAGGCGTGCTAGTGACTTCGCCCCACTCGCCGAGGCGAAGGGGACGGCCGGGCGTCGGCGCACGGAGACGGCGCTGCCCCGAGGCCCCTCAATGGAGCCGTTGGCCCCACCGAGGCGTCCGAGCGACGCTGCGGCCGCCGCCAGCCCTCACGGCCCGACGAGGGCGAAAGCGGCCGTGGCAACGCGCCGGGTGACGTGTCAGGCGTTTGCGGTCGCACAGACGACGCGTTGGAGGTCCCCCGCAGAGGAATGGGCCCGTTGCTCGCGGGCCGCCGTTGGGACTTGGGAGGCGGCCCTCCGTGAGAGGCGTGGTGCACGCTGAAGGCGAAGCCCACGTGCGAGGACGGCAATTCCGGCCACACAGGCGGCGCCCAGGGTGCCGAGCAAAACTAATAAGAGAACGGCCCACACAGGAGTTGGCTGGCCTCTGCTTTGGCCGCGCGTTGCCTCGTGAGAGGGGGGCATCGCACTCGCGGCCGCGGCCGCAAAGGAAGAAGTTGGGCCACCCGCATGGCCCACAGCCCACGCACGTAAATCAACGCCACCGCAAAGAACTGGCGTCCCGCGCACGCCAGCGGAGGCCACGGGCATGACCGGCGCCCCTTCTGGTCGCAACGTGGACAGCATCACGTGAAGCGACCGCAGGAGCGCGCACCGATCTGCGTCAACGGCACTATTCGGAGTTGCTCGCAGCGCCGGAAGCGCCACACCAGACGGCAGCCGCCAGGCGCAGCGCTGGCGCTCGCTGGCAAAGACTGCTCCTGCGCCATACCTCCGTGCGCACGCCGCGTCCGTGCGGGGGCGAGAGGGCAGTTCCTCCAGCCGCCCTGGCCCCGTTGGGTCCTCCGCACCGGCGCCGGGAACGTGATCCGGCGGGTGCCCATCGGCAACAAACCCCGCAGTGCCGCCTGCGCCGGCCCCCGAAGCAGAGGGCACCGCAAGTAGAAGAAGGAGCGCGGTGAAAAGGATGCCAGGCATTCTTGTGTGTGTGTGTTTGTTTTTTCCTACTCCGCTTACTTCGGTGTCAGAAACGCAACACGCTACGCTCCGGCGCCGGCGACAGCAGTTCGGCAAACAAAAAAAAGAAGGGAAGAAAACAATGACCAACACAAATGCTGCAGGTCACCAAAGAACTGGCGGCTGCCACGGCGAGAGCGGCCGCACGGGAGCAAAGTCACCCACGCACACGAGAGTTAAAATCACAACTTAGCACACCACAAACGCCGGTGGTCGCAGCTACCGCAAAAGTTTTGCCGGGAGAATAGAAAAAAAAAAACGGGAGTTTTTGCGCCGTCAGTGACCAGCCACTTTTCACTATTGTAACGGAGCTTCTAAAGCAGACGCACGCCCAGCATGCATCAGAAATAAAATGAAAAAGCAAAGAGAACAAACACTGAGGAGCAGAGTGGGAACATAGTGAATTCTGCCAATAGCCTCCAAACACAACACGGCACGTGAAAGACAAAAAAAGAAAAAAGGTTGTTGCCTTTTTTTTTTCTATTCGTTTCCTTCTGCGCGCCTGTGCAGCAAACGCCGGAAGAGAACAAACGCGCGTCGCCAAGAGCACCTGCTTGGGTTGGAAGCAGCGAGAAGCTGCACCCCGCGCCCCCACTGGGCCCCGTCCAGCCAAAAGATGCTTCCGCGCGCCACACGGCACAGTCACCGCGCCAGGAAGAAAATATCTTCGTTTTTTTTTTACAACTTTTTAGAAAAAATCAAATGGCCAGCGAAACGAACAAAAGAAAAAAAAAAGACTCCCTGTTCCGGCGGTTGAGCGGAGCCGCAGCGATGAGGCTGCGGGCGGTATTACGGGAAGATGCCCTCCGGTTTATTCAAAGTTTCGGGCCTCCGGCGCATGCACGCACACACGCCCCCCAGCGCCGCCGCACGAATATCCCACCGCCTCCCCCAGGCGCACCCACGCGGTTCTGATATTTTGATCGGCCGCCGCGGCGACGCGTTTCCCAGCAGAGCGGCGAACACGCCCAACCCCCACACACGGGAAAGGGAAAAACGTGTGAAATAATTCGCCAAAGATGAGCCGTGGCATCGGAAGTAAGTACCAAAAAAGAAAAGGAACGGAACACAGTCCGTCAACGGATTCACCAACAAAGGGGATAGGATGGTCGCCATGGTATAAGATTGTTCATCAGCCACGAGCAAGCAAACACAATAAGCCCGCCAAGCAGCACAGGCGTCACAAGGAAGATGTAACCCGCATCGTGCCTTCGCCCCTGTTTGTGAAAGACGGCAAGCACAGCTGTGGCCGAACTCGAGGGTTGAAACCAACCAAACAAGAGGCAAGCAGGGGTAAGGAGAGCTACAGCGAAGACGCTGGCCAGCAACTGCCCAATGGGCTGCGCAAGAGACCCCGTTGCGTGGGCAAAGAAACAACAAACAGAGCAGCAAGCAGGTGCGAGCCCAACAGTGACTGCGGCTGCGCCCCGGGTGCAGTTATGAGACAAACCATCAGCGCGCACGACGCCCAGAACGACGGCCAGTAAAGCTGCAGGCCGTACTGCCCCAGCCGTACTC